TGACGGGGTTTTCTGGCTCTCCCCTGCAGGTTGAGGAAATTTTGGTGGGCATCCTGGAACGGCTCAAATTGCAGCTGGAGCCCAACACAAAGGAGGAGACCCTTCGGGCCCTGTGCTTGCTGGCAGGCAACTGCACCCACAGCGTTGTGCCCCTGCTGCTCAACAGGCCCCTCCCTTGGGATAGGTACCTCTCCCACACCCAGGAGCACACTCCATCCCAGTAAACCCTCCCCTGCTCCAACCCAAGCCCATGTTAAAAATCACTGCACAAGGATGCTTTCTTCTTGATGCCAATCAAACTTCATGTTCTTTGGCCAAGTCCTCTTGGGCCTCACTCCCACTAGAACCTGAGAACTGGCCCTTCATAGGCTCAGGACCAGATTGGTACTAGAATATGATTACCAGGGCCCATGACATAGCTGTCCCTGGCTCCTGCAGAACCATTTTGGCCCCATGGAGGTTGTTCGGCACCGAGCGAAAGACCACAATCAACGTCCTGCAGCTGCTGATAGGCATCCTGGAAAACCACTCCACAGAGGGCACGACGGAGAAAGCCCTAGAGCCCGAGGAGGTCAGCATGGGGAGGGCGGGCGGTGGGCAGAGGACTTATGTCTGGGACTTGCGTGCAGAACTGATGATTAAAGGGGTCAGTTGTTAGGGAGCAGTGAAGAGGAGACTGTTAACACTGGACTCACTAGTACTGCACATACGGTTAGCACTTGAACTTTGTACATCCAAGAACTCCATGATGTAGAAAGTGCAGGAATCAATCCCAGTTCATAGACAAGGAAACTGATGTTCAGAGTTAATCAGCTTTTTCTATCTCCTGATTTTGGGTCTGGCACCCATATTTCTGGGGGCCTGGCCAGGGGCATGCGGTGCTAGGCGCAGAGGATGAAGTTTGGTTGTCTGAAATGGGGTGGCCCAATTTATTTTCTGCTGAAAAATTAGAGTTGGTTCCCTTTTTGGTTTTAATATTTGGGAATAAAGAGAGAGCAGATTACATGTGTGTGGCCCCTCATTTCCCCAGGGATGAGCTGTGGGCTTTCAGTCTTTGGATGCTTCTTAGAAACCTCAGTCCTTTGGGCACTGACAGGGAGGGGCAGTGTGTGGGTTGTGGGACCATTTATGTCTTTACCAGACCTAGTCAATTCTGTTTCCTCCTTTCCATGTGTCTTCCCCAGGAGGCGTTTGCCTTGTGTGAGATGCTATCCGGGACTCTGTGCCGGGAGGCCATCCTGGAACTCTACCCCCGGCTATTGCTGGCTGTGTTATGTCATCTCTTCTGGGTGATTGAGCAAAAGATCCCCAAGAATATGGTGGTCTACAGGAAGGTTGGGGGCTCAGGCAAGACCTTGGACCCCACTAGGTAAGCCTAACCCTGGTGTGATGGAGAAATGAGGCTAGTCAACTCCAGAGGGCCCTGGACAGCTGGATGCCAATCCCCTAGGGAAGCTGAAGAAGAGACTGACAGCAGCACAGAGCTAGAATGTCGGTGTGGGTGCCCCAACATCACGTGCTGGAATGTCCCCACATATTTTCATGTTTCTCATTACCCTTTTCCTTGCATGCACTCTTATGCTTCACCCAGCGGTTCACATCTCTGTTCATGACTCGGCACATGAAAGATTCAATTCTCTCCGTGCTGCTGTGGCCATTCGAATCTGGATCACCTCTGGCTTAGCTTTGTCACTAACTGCGACATCTCGTGCAAGTCACTACTGCAGTTTAGGGTGTTGAACTCCTAAATAAGTGGTTGTCATTCCTTTTTAAATACCCACAGGGTATTCTATTCAAGTGAAATCTTACAGTAAAAAAATAAAGAAAACCAGTAAGCAGAGACATTCTGGTTAGGTGGGTGTGGAGGTGAAGAGGTATCCTAACCCTGCTACACTATGGAGAGCTGAATTTGAGCTGTGGCACTAGCACATCTCTATAGTCTCTTTTACAAGACTCTGTGGTTGGATGAGCACCAAGGCTGAAGGGGTGAGCAGACACAATTGGAGATGGGTTTCAGAGAGCCATGTGTTTTCATCAGCTGGAAAGCAGGATCCAGCTAGCCACCAGATTAGAGAACTGTCTCCTGGCTTGCCAGGACAAGGATGCAAACTAGGCCATAACACCTTGTCCATCCTTCTGTTCCGTTCTTTTCACAAACCTCGTGACGATTGGCCTTCAGTTGTGCCCTGGAGGTGGTGAAGCTTGTGTTCTTCGCAGCCGCATACGATGGAGTGGTGGTCTATGCAGATGAGCATAAGTGCTGGGATCATCTGTCCTCCTCTAAATTTTACTACAGAGGGATCATGGACCTGACAAGGTGGGACCATTTCCCCAGCATGCCCAATACCACTCTAGCCCCCAATCCCAATTTTCCAGGGTCCAGCACTCAAATACAGCAGCCTGTAACCCTCCCTTGCTCATCTCCCAGACCTCAGCCTTCACATTTTCCCTGTTCTGTGCATACTGTTCCCTTGCCACCTCCCCTCCACCACTGCCCACTCCCCACCCAGCAACTCTTGGCTTCCTCTGCCCCACCCAGTGGCATTGTGAAGAACTGTGATGCAGTCATGCTGCACCGAATTCTGAACCTTGCCAAGACCTTCCTTGACAGCGGAGATAATCATCGGAAGACCTTGGCCAGGGCCGTCTATGCACAGGTGAAAGCCTGGAGGGAGGACCACAGCCCTAGCCATTCATTCCCTGTAGCTGAGGAACATTTAACAGAAATGTTAAATAACTTGCCCCAGAAAGTGGAAAGAATAGAGAGTGCGGTTTGCTTCCGTGCCACTTCAGAGCCTGGTTAAAAAGAGGCAGGGGAAGCCTGGGGAGGAGATCAGGAATAGAGCATCGGCCTGCGGACTGAAATGTTCCCGGTTTGATTCTGATCAAGGGCATGTACCTTGGTGTCCACCATTGCCTTATACCAGTGATGGCGAACCTTTTGAGCTCGGAGTATCAGCATTTTGAAAAACCCTAACTTAACTCTGGTGCTGGGTCACATATAGAAATTTTTAAAAATATTTTTTATATTTCTGATATTTATTTTATATACTTAAATGCCATCAGCAGCATTATTACTCCCGGAATGATTTTAGGATCCCAGGATCTTGCCCAAAATGCTAATTGTTATCAGCGCTATCCACCATTGCCGTAGGCTCTACCCCATGTGCACAGATCGACTACTGCTCTCAACTGGTCACAGTTCTTACCTGCGGGGAGCTAGGGAAGCACCAGGTACCCATGACCTTTTCTCCATCCATGGTTATAGTAACCTTGTTTCCACAGCTCCTCTGGCATCGATCAGTGGCTCAGACTCTGGGACAAGACTTTGTGGGCAATCTAATCAAGTGGACCAAGGATCCCAACCTCATCATGAAAGAAATTGGACTCCGTGGAATCAGTAACCTGGCACTGCATCCAAGTCAAGTAAAAGTGGGGGGCCCAATGGGAATCAAATGTTAGTCTCTGAACCACTTAATTTATTTCCCTTGGGGTCTCTTAATTACCCAGAGCTTAGTAAATTTCCCAACCCCTCATCCTAGGGCAGTACAACATCCAGTTTACAGACTTACATAGCCTGGCCATCTGGCCTCCCAAACACCCTGAGCACCTTCCACTTCCTCTGCACATCCAGCCCCTAGATTCCCTAGGTCTGTTTCTTTTAGGCACCACTTGTTTTCTCAAAACCCTATCCCTGAAGTGTTGCATGATGCCCAGGTGGAAAATGATCTCTGCCTTCTTTCAAACAGTCAGAGTCTGTCAAGAGCCTGTTTCCATCCTTGCGAGACTTCCTGAAGAGTGAGGCACGGGTGACAGTTCAGGCAGTGAAGGCCCTACGGAACATCATCTACCATGGGCATGGAGAAGAGGTCAAGGCGATGTTCTGCAGCATCTCCAGGCATCTGCGTCCACTCATCAATGATGTATGGGTCTAAGTCCCTAGGATTAGTTGGGAACAGTATGGGCTGGGGCTGAAGGTGAACACTGGAAGCTGAATTAAGGGTACTGGGGTGGGGCTATGGGACTTGGTGGAAGGCTAAAATCACTGAGGGGCAGAAAAAAGGAGACTTGGCTACTTGAAGCAGTGCATTAGACAGGTGCAAAATTCAGTCCCTATTACATACAGATGAAGAACTCACCCACTTACTCTCTTACCACAAATTTCCTGAAGGAGCCACTGAAGGGGGAAATGTGACATACTGATGTAAAATTGGTTCTGACTCCAACGATCTTCTGCAAACTTGAAGAGTGGGGGAAGAACTCATTACTTTTACCCTCCTTCTAAACAACACAGAGACCCTAGAATTCTAGGAACCTTGTTACAAAACCCAAAGGCTCAGAAATCTGAACTACCCAGGCCAGTAAGAGCCCACTCCATGTCTCAGCCTCTTTACAGATCAGAGCCATTTTGAGTTGAAGGGACTTCACATCAGAGATGTATGCTTACTTACAGTATTCCTGTTCTGGCATGTATCAATTTTTAATATTTGAACCTTGGATTTGAATTATTTTTGTATCAGCCTCATAATCTCCAAGAGCCTGGACACTCACTCCATGATTCATCTATTTTTCAGTTACTTTTAAAACCCAACATGTATATTTGACTTGACAAAGCCTAAAAATCATCTTTACCCTTCATCCAAACAATATAAGAACCTTAGAAGCTTGATTACACTGCCCCCGTTTTATTAATTAATATTGTCTAGTAGTTTAGTTTCACATTCTTTGAAAATCCCCAAATGTAGTCTTTAACATAATCACCACCATTGCTGTTATGTTATACAGTCAATACTCATTTAGATTTTTCCCATATGTTGCTTACACATTTCTTCATTTACCTTTCCTTCTTATAGCTCTCTCCTCCCTTCTAGATTCATTTTCGTCTTTTTCTTTGTGTCTTCTCATTATTAATGTATGTTTTTTTCATTGCTTAAAGTATTACAAAGGGTATTACATCTTGACAATCCCCTGGCCTCCCCTACCCCCCAGTGTCTATGTCCATTGCTTATGCTTATATGCATGCATACAAGTCCTTCGGTTGATCTCTTACCACCCTCCCTCCTGCCCCCCAACACTCCCCGGCCTTCCCGCTGCAGTTTGACAATCTGTTTGAGGCAGCTCTGCCTCTGTATCTATTATTGTTCAAAAGTTTATAATGGTCTCTATTATCCATGAATGTGTGAGATCATGTGGTATTTTTCCTTCATTGACTGGCTTATTTCACTTAGCATAATGCTCTCCAGTTCCATCCATGCCGTTGCAAATGGTAAGAGTTCCTTCTTTTTTACAGCAGCATAGTATTCCATCGTGTAGATGGACCACTGTTTTCTAATCCATTCATCTACTGATGGGCACTTAGGCTGTTTCCAGATCTTAGCTATGGTGAATTGTGCTGCTATGAACATAGGGGTGCATATATCCTTTCTAATTGGTGTTTCTGGTTTCTTGGGATATATTCCTAGAAGTGGGATCACAGGGTCAAATGGGAGTTCCATTTCTAGTTTTTTGAGGAAACTCCATACTGTCTTCCATAGTGGCTCCACCAGTCTGCATTCCCACCAGCAGTGCACGAGTGTTCCTTTTTCTCCACATCCCCTCCAGCACTTGTCGTTTGTTGATTTGTTGATGATAGCCAGTCTGACAGGTGTGAGATGGTACCTCATTGTTGTTTTGATTTGCATTTCTCGGATGATTAGTGACTTTGGAAAACATATTTGCCAACGTCATATCTGATAAGGGCCTCTTTTGAAAGGTGTCTATTTAGGTCCTTTACCCATTTTTTGATTGGATTGTTTATCTTCCTTTTGTTAAGTTGTATGAGTTCCCTATAAATTTTGGAGATTAGGCCCTTATCAGATATGACGTTGGCAAATATGTTTTCCCATGCAGTGGGTTTTCTTGTTGTTTTGTTGATGGTTTCTTTTGCTGTGCAGAAGCTTTTTATTTTGATGTAGTCCCATTTGTTCATTTTCTCTTTAGTTTCAAGTGCCCTAGGGGTTGTATCAGTGAAGAAATTGCTTCGGCATATGTCTGAGATTTTGTTGCCTTTTGATTCTTCTAGAATTTTTATGGTTTCCTGTCGTACATTTAAGTCCTTTATCCATTTTGAGTTAATTTTTGTGTATGGTGTAAGTTGGTGGTCTAGTTTCATTTTCTTGTATATATCTGTCCAATTTTCCCAACACCATTTATTGAAGAGACTATCCTGGCTCCATTGTATGTTCTTGCCTCCTTTGTCAAATATTAATTGAGCATATTGGTTCGGGCCAATTTCTGGGTTCTCTATTCTATTCCATTGATCTATATGTCTGTTCTTGTGCCAGTACCAGGCAGTTTTGAGAACAGTGGCTTTGTATTACAGCTTGATATCTGGTATTGAGATCCCACCTACTTTGTTCTTTCTCAGGATTGCTGCAGCTATTCGGGGTCTTTTTTTATTCCAGATGAATTTTTGGAGAGTTCGTTATAGATCTGTGAAGTATGCTGTTGGTATTTTAATGGGAAGTGGGTTGAATTTATAGATTGCTTTGGGTAGTATGGACATTTTTCAGTGGATTTCTTTAATGTCTTCCATAGTTTTCTGTATGGTTCTTCTATCTCCTTGATTAAATTTATTCCTAGGTATTTTATTTTTGATGCAGTTGTAAATGAGATTGTTCTCTTTGGTTTACTGTCTGATAGTTTATTATTGGTGTATACAAATGCAACTGAAAAATCAAAAACAGGAAAAATGCAATAGAATTCTGAATATTTATTTTGTATCCTGATACCTTACTGAATTAATTTATAAATTTTAGTAGTTTTTTTTGTTGGAATCTTTAGGTTTCTCAATATAGAGTATCAAGTCATCTGCAAATAATGATAGTTTTATTTATTTCCAGTTTGGATGCCTTTTATTTCTTCTTGCTGTCTGATTGCAGTACTATGTTGCCTAAGAGTGGTGGAAGTGGACATCTCTGTCTTGTTTCTGATCTTTTAGTTTTTCCCTGTTGAGTTTGATGTTAGTTGCATGTTTATGACAGATGGCATTTATTATGTTATGGTATGTTCTGTCTATTTCTACTTTGCTGAGAGTTATTTTTAAATTATAATTTTGATGTGTCTTGGCGTGGTTCTCTTTGGGATTATCTTGCATAGGACGCTCTGTACTTCCTGGACTTGTGTGTCTTTTTCCTTCACAAATTAGGAAAGTTTTCCATCATTATTTCTTTAAATAGGTTTTTAATCCCTTGCTTTCTTTCTGCTCCCTGTGGTGCCCCTGATAATGCAGACGTTGGTATACTTGATGTTGTCCCAGAGGCCCCTTATAGCATTATCATTTTTTTAAAATTCTCTTTTAGCCCTGGCTCCTTCACTGAGCATCGGCCCATGAACAGAAGGGTTACAGGGTCAATTCTGGTCAAAGGTTCAATCCTAGGCCCTGGTTGGGGAGTGTACGGGATGCAACCAATCCATGTGTCTCTCTCACATCAATGTATCTCTCCCTCTGTCTCTAACATTCCCTTCCAACTCCCTCTAAAAATTACTGGATAAAATACCCTAGGATGAAGATTAACAACAACAAGAATTCTCTCTCTCTCTCTCTCTGTCTCTCTCTCTCTCTCTCTCTCTCTCTCTCTCTCTCCTTTTTTCATGCTCTGATTGGCTATTCTGTGCTACCTTATCTTCCATATTGCAAATTCAATCCTTTGCTTCATTTAGTCTATAGTTGGTTCCTCCTAGTGTATTCTGTATTTTTCACTGGTTCTTTTTTATAGTTTCTGTGTCCTATTACTTTCTTTTCTTGTTTCCACTGAGTTCATCCATTCTTCCCTGCGTTTATTGAGCATCCTTTTAACCATTGTTTTGAACTCTGTATTTAGTAGATTGCTTGCATTCATTGTTTTTAGTTCTTTTTCTGGGGATTCTCTGTTATTTTATTTGGGGTATGTTTCCTTGTATTCTCATGTTGGCTACCTCTCTGTATTTGTTTCATTGTATTAGGTAGATGTGCTATGTCTCCCAATCTTGGTATTTATTTCGTAGGTGTCCTGTGGGGCTTGGTAGTGCTGTCTCCCTGATCACTAGAGCAAGGTGTTCCAGGAGTGTGTTATGTGATCCTTCCTGTTGTAGTTGAGTCTTTTAAAAAAAGATTTTTAAATTTATTTTTGGAGAGAGAAGGGAGAAAGAGAGAGAAACATCAGTATGAGAGCAACATTGATCAGCTGCCTCCTGCACGCACCCCTAAAGGGATTGAGCCCACAATCTGGGCATGTGCCCTGGCCAAGAATTGAACTGGCAATCTTTCAGTTCTCAGGAAGACACCCAACCTACTGAAGGCCACAAGCCAGGGCTGTAGTTCAGCCTTATTGCTGTTGGTGTATCCATGTGTAGGGTTAACCTTCAGGCTGGCTGACTGTGAGGATTGAACCTGACCTCACTGTATGAGTTGCTGGGCAGGGACTAACCCCATGAAGTAGAATTCACCCCAGCAGGGTCTGGTATCTGCCAAAATCTTCCTTTCAATGTGCCACTTGTGGGGCTAATTGGGTTGTTCTCTAATGTGGTCTGAAGCCTGCCACCAGGTTCTGAGGCCTCTTGGGAGGGACTCTGGTGCTGGTGAATATCAGATGCTGCCTGTGACTGGCCCTGGGCTACCTGTTAGGATCTACAAACGATCCACATTTTGTGGCAGCCTCTGAAGGATAAGGGTGCATATGGGAGGAGCCAAAGTGCATGCCATGTCTGGCCTCCATCAGCACCAAACCCATGGGAGGGGTCAGCAAAAGTCCCAAGACACTCCAAGATATGCCTTTGCCTGCTGGCTTCCTGTTAGGCCCAATCACTGGAATTGCCTCTGGCAATATGCAAATTGAAGTAGGTTCTCATGTTGGGGCCAGTGGTATTCACCAGGTTGATACATATACTAACTTGAAGCCAGTACTGCTTCTGAGGCCACTCAGGAAATGTCTCATGGTACACCAAAGCCAGCTGCCAGCTGCCACCTGCATGGGGCCTCAGACATTTGTGGTTGGGTGGGTTCTGAGGGAGTCATCAGGGTAAGGCCAGCAGAGTTTATAGGGCTAAAACAGACCAATATTTGGTCATGTGGATAGAGAGCTTTGCACAGCAATGGTGGCTCCAGTCAGCATGTGAGGGGGAAAATGACCCTCACCCTAAAGCCACAGAACTTAGTCTCTGACATCCCGTTTGTCTGCCTACACATCCTAAAGATCCCTCCAAGAAAGTCTGCACTGCCAGCTCAGGCTGGCTGGTGGGAGCTTGGCAGGGCAGGGATACAGGTATTTGGGAGGGAGTACTAATGCATTCCACCACGTTGATGCCCCGTGGAGGGGAATGCTCAACCCAAGAAATATGGTATCTATGGACTGTGGTGGGGGAGGTATTCAACACAAGGACCCTGCTGGCTGTCCCTTTAGCTCTCCGTGAAGCCACACATCCCAGTCTCTCCCTGTATGACTCAGTCTGCTCTGAGCTACCTTCCCTCCGCTGGAGCCCATGGTGAGTGGCTGGAAATGACATTTTCTGCACTGACTTTTTAAGAGGGCTCCTGGGTTTCTGGCCGACTCCCTTCTCTCCCTAGTAGATGGAATCTCTGATGACTTTCACAGCCAGGAATTAGGTGGGTTTCTCTTCCTTTTGTGATGCTCCAGACTGGGGAGCCTGTGTTGGGTTGAGGCCGTTGCTCCTGACAGTGGACTTTGTAGGTGAAATATCTCTCCAGATTCTCTACTGCTGCACGTGTGGGGCCACCTCTTTTTGAGCCTCAGTCCATCCTACCAGTCTCCATGTGGCTTCTTCTATAAATCCTTGGTCATAAGACTTCTGTTCAGCTGGACTTCAATTGGTTACTTAGGTTGATTGTTCTAAAATTTAGTTGTACTTCTGGTTTGATTCTGGGAGGAGGTAAGTGTAACTTCCACCTACTCCACCACTGTATTGGATCCTGTTGTTGTTTTTTTAATTAAAATACTAACATTGAATCATCTCTCTGTTTAGCCATTATGTGCTTTGTGCAAAAAATAATTCAACTTGTTAAAATATCTGTTTTCTGTATCCTACCAATTCAGGAACTGTCTTGTCCCATCATGTCTGCTATTTAGTAAGTCCCTAGCTCATTATAGGTGCTTAAAAATATTTGTATACTTAAAATATACTATACTCTTGAAAGTGTATAAAGTTTAGCTGTTTGTGATCCTTGCTAATTAACACAAGCTAATATAGATTTAAACAATTATAGCATAACTAGGACAATTAATTTTTTTTTAAATTTGGCATTCTTGAGCTAAATCCCCAGAAGGAATAAAGTGATAGGTTGGAGATATGATCCACGACAGAACTGAAATTATAATCTTAGTTTGCCTAGCACAGTGCCATAACTCTAGGAGGCTTATTAGCTCTAGGGGCTAAAGAGATTTGCTCAGCTCCACAAATCATGTTGCCTTTTTAGTATGTAAATGCAGTGTCCTATGGATGTGAAAAATGAAATGTGTGTGTATGAAAGCCAAGCGAGGCAGGGTCAGAGGGAAACCATAGCCTCCTCATCTCCATTTTGCTCTTCATGGCAGGAGAGGGACCAGGTGAAGATCACAGCCGTCTCTGCCCTTAGGCACATGCTACATAGAGTCAACAAATTCAAGCCTGGATATGCCATCAAGAAACATCTGTACAGTTTTTTAGTCCCGCTGCTGCTTAGCTTAGAGGACAACAACACCGAGGTGGTCAAGGTACGGGTGATCTCTGTCCTGCCAACCTCAGCCTGACATAACCCCTTTCTGCTAGAGCACGGCCCCTTCCCTTTAGTCCTCTTTCATGAGCCTGGTCTGGGATCTGCATTCACTCTACACCAGTGGTTCTCAACCTTCTGGCTGTTTAAATACAGTTCCTCAGGTTGTGACCCAACCATAAAATTATTTTCGTTGCTACTTCATAACTATAATGTTGCTACTGTTATGAATCGTAATGTAAATATCTGATATGCAGGATGTTCTTAGGCGACCCCTGTGAAAGGGTCGTTCGACAGCCAAAGGGGTCGCGGCCCACAGGTTGAGAACCACTGCTCTACACCTCTTTGGTATCATTTTCCGGGCTGAATCTGAGCACTTTTACCCTCTATTGGGTGCCATCAGTCTTAGACAGATATGGTACCCCTCCCTGAAGTTATTTACATCTTTTCACACGATCAAGGCTCCTGATCCCAGCTACTAATCCCAACCAAACCCCTTGTGGACTAGTTTCATGGTCTGGCCTGGCTCTCCAGAATTATAGGAGGTAGACTTAGGATTTCCTTGTGTCCATCCCATAGGCCTGTGGAGCAGCCCTGACTGAGTGGACGAATGTGATTGGCTGGTCATCCTTCACACAGATGTTTCAGCATACCACCCTCAGTGATCACATGCAGGTGTTGGAAGAAACATGCAACCATTTGGTGAGTGAGAGTCTCTGAGGAAGCCGGTTGCATTCTGCATGCTATGGACTCACTGGCAGGCTCGGTGGGCAAAGAGGAGAGGGCTGACAGAAGATGTATTCTTTCCTTTCCTTGATTCTCATTCTTTCTCATCAGCAAACTTTGAGAACCCACATTTGGGATGCCAGTCCCTGGATCTCCATATTTGATCCTCTTAGCATCTCAAACTCTGCCTCAGAGGCTAGGGACATCGTGCAAGGTTAATAGATGCCAATGGGATAGAAGCTTTCTGGTTAGAGGAAGAGATATAGACAGGAGTCCTCAGGGCTTGAGATCAACAGTCATGGTGGTAATGGTCTGTAGCTTCAGTGACTTCAGTGAAGTCAAGAACAGGCCATAGAGCAGGAATCCTTGCTGAAAAGTAAACATTTAAGGGCTACGCGAGTAGGTGAGGAACTAAATGAGTAATTCTAATATTATGAATTTGAATGCCTTACATAGATAGAGCACTTTACCGTGTACACTTTAACATCCATTATCCCATTGGAGCCATTGGTAGGTTAGGCAGGTTTTATTTCAACACTTCAGATGAAAAAATTGAGGCCCGTGTCAGGGCCAGTATTCAAACATGGGTCTCCTGGCTCTACATCAGTTGTTTTCTCCCCTTTTTTTTAAAAAAATATATTTTATTGTGGTTTTTTTTTTTACAGAGAGGAAGGGAGAGGGATAGATAGTTAGAAACATCGATGAGAGAGAAACATCGATCAGCTGCCTCCTGCACACTCCCCACTGGGGATGTGCCCACAACCAAGGTACATGCCCTTGACCAGCATTGAACCTGGGACCCTTGAGTCCACAGGCCGATGCTCTATCCACTTAGCCAAACCAGTTAGGGCTGTTTTCTCCCTTATCATGTTGGTACCAAGGAGGAAAATTCTCTTTATGAACTTTCTGCTGAGGCTGCACTTTTGCTGGGGTGGGGGTATCTGAGTGTATAGGTTCAAATCCTTTAAGCCAGTGATTCCCAAAGTGGGCGCTACCGCCCCCGGTGGGCGCTGCAGCGATCCAGGGGGGCAGTGATGGCCACAGGTGCATTTGGGGGCGATGAGTAACTGCTATTAAAATTAAAAAAATTAATTTCCAGGGGCTGAGTAATATTTTTTCTGGAAAGGGGGCGGTAGGCCAAATAAGCTTGGGAACCACTGGTTTAAGCTGACTGAAGACAGAAAATGCTGCTGCTTGTGGACAAGGTGATAGGGCCAAGGCTGCAAGACGGTCTTCAGTCGAGTTCCCAGCAACCCTCCTCTCCTTGTCAGCATTACTCCTCTTTGACTTCACAGGTGAATACATGCAAAATACAATTAGTGGGGGAGTTACTGTTTCAGAGCTTCAGCTTCTTGAAGAGCTCCGAGTCCTTCCTACGGACAGCTGCAGTCCATTTCATAGGTAAGGTGGTCCCTCCTGTCAATTCCTCCCTTCTCTCCAGCAGGAAAGCCCTCCTTGACCTTTCACTAAAGGGCAAAGCCAGAACCATGGTATGATGAAGTTGGTTACATCCTTTCCTAGCTCTGACCTGATTTGAGATGTGCTGTCAGCCTCCAAAATTTGTGTTAGAAATGCCTGGGGAGGAGGAGTAAGCTATCTGCCTTTGTCCTGGATTGTGTGCATCTACCCACTTTGTCAGCATGCTGCTTTGTGAGGAAGAGAAATGTACACATTTGGAAGGAAAAAGCTGTTGCTTCAACTGGAACCCCATGGATTTCCCAAAATATTTTTTGTTTTAAACCATAACAGTATGTGTTTATGTTAGAAAGCATAACATATTCAGACTGGCTGAAAGAAGACAATGAGTAATGCCAGAACTTACATCATTTGGATTTAACCACTACTAACACCATAGAATTATTTTTCTTAAAAATATGCTACACACACACACACACACACACACACACACAGCACTTTAAAAAATATGTTTTTAATTGATTTTAGAGAGAGTAGAAGGGAGAGAGAGAATCATTGATTGGCTGCTTCCTTCATTGTCCCTACTGGGGATTGAGCCCACAAGCCAGGTAATTGAACCATAATCTCTTGGTTCCTGGATCGATGCTCAATCACTGACCCACTGGAGCAGAGCTATAGAACTTTCATTTATTTGATTATTGTAAATATTTTTATTGATTTTTTACAGAGAGGAAGGGAGGGGGATAGAGATTTAGAAACATCCATGAGAGAGAAACATTGATCAGCTGTCTCCTGCACACCCCCTACTGGGATGTGCCCACAACCAAGGTACATGCCCTTGACCAGAATGGAACCTGGGAGCTTTCAGTCCGCAGACCAATGCTCTATCCACTGAGCCAAACCAGTTAGGGAAACTTTTAAAAAAGAAACTTTGGTACACAGCTCTATCACAAATACATGTATTACTTACTCATCAACATTATATTTAATGACTACATAATATTAATTTTATTGTATAATGGATTTATGAAACCAGTCCTTATTTTTGAATATTGAGACTGTGTTATCTTTTGTTTTTATAGACAGGGACATAGTGGTTAAATCTCTGCATGTCATCATGATTATTTTGTTAAGATACATTGCTTAAAAGTAGAGTTCCTGGACTCAAAGGGTATGCAGAATTTTAAGGATTTGGAACTGCCTTCTAAAAAGTTAGATTCATTTTCTCTTGTCACCAGTATGTACATGAGTATCCATTTCGCCAAACATTTGGCAACCCTAGGTAATATGTTTTTAAAATCATTACCAATTTGATAGGTGAAAACAAAGAAGCTTGTTGTTTTGGTTAATTTTTTTTTCAATCAACAGCTAGGTTATGTATTTTGTCCTGTTTATTGCCCATCCATATTTTATTTTTGCAAATTATTGCCTTGTGCCCCCAGTCCATCTTCTGTTGGTGTAGGAGCCCCATGAAGTTTAACATCCTTGGCGCAGGCTCCACTTATCACCTGGGTCACAGCTGCTCTGAGGGCTGTTCTTTCACTAGGACACTGACATGTAGCCAGCAAGGCTTCTCTTACATACATTCCTTGCTAAAATCATTTTATAAATGTCCTTGTCACTACTGAGCCTGGGGAAAGGGATGGCCCAAAGGCTCAGGAATTCTGGATGGACTTTACATCTGTTCTGTCTTTAGCATTAATAGCTAAGAAGATAAACCTGCATTCCATACATGAGGATGATGTGCAGCTGTTACGAAATGGTGAGTCTGGGCCTCGCACCTGGGTTCTGGGTTATATAAGGGGATGGTGCAAGATAGAAATTAGGAAGAGGCAATTCCTGACATACATGTGACATTATTTTAAAAGTTTACTCTTACCAGTATAAATGTTATACTAAAAGTTTAAGTGAAGAGAAGTAAGAGAAAGATAAGATTATTTATCATCATACCAGTTATATAAAAGCACTGCTAACAATACGTTTTGTCACTGCCCCTCTGTCCTGTGCTCTGGGCTGACCCTGCAGAGGAGTGTAAAGCAGACATGGTTCCTTTCCCCCTGAAGAACATGCAGTTTTGTGTTCTTTTTTACTGCCTTAAAATATTTTAAAATTAATTTATACTTATAGAGCCCTTGATATATTAATATTTAAGTTATTTCAATTTTTTTGCTATTCAAACAATGCTACCATGAACATTCTTATATATGCCTCCTCATATACAAGTGTAATTCTTACTCCAGACTAGATACTAAAAACTCGACTTTTATCATGCATGTTGAACTTAACCAAGTTTAAAGTACAACATTTTAATCTTTCCTACTATGTTGACATGAATTTCAATCACCGCCTTTCCCAATTACAGGCTTTTATTAACCAATATATTAGTTCCGTTTGTAAAATCATAATTTATATGCTATGATTATTATTGTTATTTTATACAAACCATAGATTTACAAAGTGTTATATGCTCACCATTTTTGTTTTGTTTTGTTTCTCTGACCATCCCTCAGGGGTCATTTTTCTCCATCCTTCTAGAAGTAACCTTTTAGAAGTTTCTTTAGTGCTGGTATCTTTTAAAAAAATCCTCACTGGAGGATATGTTTATTGCCTTCAGAGGGAGAGAGGGAGGGAGGGAGGGTGGGAGGGAGGGAGGCAGGGAGAGAGAGAGAGAGAGAGAGAAACATTCATCGGTTGCTTCCCGTACATGCCCCGATAGGGGATGGAACCTGCAACCTTTTGGTGTAGGGAATGACACTCTAACCAACTGAGCCACCTGGCCAGGGCTAGTGCTGGTATCTTTTTTTTTACACACTTTTTATTAATTTTTTTTATTAAGTTATTGCATATTAGTGCTGGTATCTTGATAATATACTGTCTTAGATTTTGTTTTGTTTGTATAAATTTCTTCTTACCCTCATCCTTACAAGATAGCTTTACTAGTTTTAAAATTCTACACCAACAATTAATTTCTCTCAGCATTTTGAAGACATTGTGCTATTATTTCCTGGCTTTCTTTGTTGCTAACTAGAAGCCTGCTATTCTAGTTTTTTTTCCTTTGTAGGTAATCTCTCCTTTTCCTGTGGCTGTTTTAAGATATTTTAAAGTGTTATTTAAAAGTATAGAGAATCTATCTAATAAAGAGGAAATATGCTAATTGACCCTCATGCCATTGCAAAGATGGCAGTGTCCACAGCCAATGAGGAGGGAATATGCTAATTGATTGCCCTGTGGCACCCACAGCCATAAGATGGTGGCACCCACAGCTATAAGATGGCAGTGCCCAGTCCCCTCAGCCCCGCCAGGGCGGCAGGCGCGCATCAAGGCTGAGCCTGCCCTCAGTGGGCATGGCTGCTCCACGTGCCTGCTTCCGGAGACCCCCAGTCCCCTCAGCGCCCCAGCTTCCCAGGTCCAGCCCGAGACTCAAATATCCAGGGCTAGCCGAAGCTTATGCTGCTGGCAGGGGCAGCAGCAGAGGTGTGATGGGGTGTTGCCTTCCCCTTATCGCCGGGTCACCTCCCACACCTGAGGGCTCCTGGACTGTGAGAGGAGCCCCCTCCAGTGCATGAATTTTCTTGCACTGGGCCCCTAGTAATATAGTAACAGGTACCCATACCCCAATTTCAAGACGTAGCAATTCGTGGTCACCTTTTCTTTTTTAAAAGATATGTGGTTTGTTCTTGTTGTTTTTTATTTCAGAAAGAGGAAGGGAGAGGGAGAGGGAGAGGGAGAGGGAGAGGGAGATAGAAACATCAATGATGAGAATTATCAATCAGCTGCCTCCTGTACGCCCCCTACTGGGGATTGAGCTCACAACCAGGCATGTGCCCTGACCAGGAATCGAACAGTAACCCCCTGGTTCATGCGTCAATGCTGAACTACTGAGCCATGTTGGCCAGGTCTCCATTATTCTTAATCTTACCAAAGTCCTAAAAAAGAGGTAGGGAATGGAAGTTGGTAGTGTGGAGAAAGAGGAGCTGCTATTCCCAGTGTCTATCAGAAGAGAAAGTTTTACCTCACCTTTCAAAACCCTTTGTTCCCTTCAGTCCCTGAAGAGCCACACCTATGTTTTATATAGGATGTACTTCTGCTGACTCCCTGCCATTGCTCTCTAGTAATTACATTTGTTAAGTATTGAAAACCTACTGTATACTATGTACTATTCTAAGCATGACATACTGCAGTGAACAAAACTGATAACCTATCCTTCATGCAGTTTACATTCTAGTCGGGAAGGGAGGAATACCCCCTCAACAAATACATAGATGTTACATAAGCACTGTGGAGGTCACTATCTCCATAAGGCAAGGGGTAAGAAGGGCCGGAGTGGGGCCCGGGGTACCCCTCCGCTATGGGACATTTAAGCAGAGAGCCGGAGGAAATGAGGGAGTGAACCCTATGACTCTTTGAGGGATAAGCACTTGGCATGTTCAAGGGAGAACAAGAAGATCAATGTGATGGCATGGGGTGAGCAAAAGGCAGGGCAGGAGGTGATGAGATCAGAGAACAGCAGTGGGGCCACGTTGATGCGGCCTTTAGCCATGGTAAAGATTTAGGGTTTTACCTGAGTGTAGGGTGCAGCATTGAACACAGTTCTTAACTCTGCTAATGGACACTGGGAAGAGTTTAGGTAGCTTGTGATCAATGGTGGGTGGTCGAATTCATTCCAGGACCAAATGGAAAGGATTTTTGAATTACTTATTCTTCACTATTTTTCATACCACAGTTTCCTTCCTTGATGTAGAGACAAGATGAAGAGAATGTTTGCTTTTCTAGCTCCTGTTCCTATGTCTCAGCCCTTTTGTAGTTGAGAGTGTTATGTGTTTGTCTGAAAGTCCTGGCATGAATGCCACAGGCTTGCTGTTCTGGTGTTGCAGATGCCTATCCTCAGGGGCTTTGCCCTCCGGTTTGAGCCCAGTTAGAGTTTCCTGGTGCCTGCTGTGAGGTAATATTTGAGGGATGCTGTTTGTGAGGTAGTGGTGGAATCCTGTCTCAGAGGAAATGCCTAGCAGACAACTGGAGATAGACAAGTCCTTGTTTTCTTTATAGCTTTGTCCAGAGAGTAAAATGGTAAATGACTTCTAAGGGTACTTTCTTCCACAAAGTCTGCATTACTCAGACCACTTTCACATACTAGATCTCTTGATAATGAGCCATGTGAACTTGGGCCAGTTACTTTGCCTCTGTGCCTGTTTCTCCATTGGCATCATGAGGATAATAGTGCTGATCTTGAACATTGTTTTGATGATTGAACACAAAACATGGGAAGCACTGAGCTTTGCTGGGCACATAGATGTCCCAGAAAACATCTGTGTTGAAGTGACTCAGGCTTCTGGGCCAGGGGAGGGGTGGTATTGGGAGGGCAGGTAGGGAGTATATTTGTAGCTAAGGGAGTATATTTGTTGCTTCCCAGAGAGAAGCCATGCTACTCCTAGCACATTAACCATCAGCTGGTAGCATCTGCCCTCTGAGGGCTTGATCCTGGCTTCAGTTCTGGCTCTGACATTTTATATGCTGGCTGCCTTCTTTTAGGTTTTACAGTGTAGTAGATACCTATTCCAGCTACCATAGTTCAATTTCATAGTTCAATTTCAGGGAAAGTATATCCAGAATGGAAATCTTGGACTCCTAAGTCTATCAGCCTCTTCCCACCCAGCCCCCTAGAAAGATGCCCTAATACCTAGATAGGAGGAAATTTTTCCCAAGGAAAATACTTCTAATTACACTTCCACCCATATGTAGTTCTGAGCAAACCTGTGGTTGAGAAGTGGTTCTTTAAAGGATTGTATATTTTTCTAGATAGTGCAAGCCCAACTCTCCCTTTTTCTATTCTAAATTGGATCAACATGAAGATGTAGACTTTGATGGGTCTGGTTGGCTTTTAGATTTGTTGAGCCCACATTCTTTCTGTCCTTTTTCTCCTTTGCAATACTAGTAAGTAATTTCCTGTCTCCATCCCTCTGTTCCCCCTCAACTCTAAACTATGCGCCCCTATTCTTTAACTGGACCACTTTGACAGCTCCTGACATCCTGTTCCTCTCTCTACACTACTTTCCATGCAGCAGCCAGGAACTCCTTGAAACATGTACACTGGATCATAGCACGATTTTGCTTAAACCCCTTCAGTGGCTCTCCACTGCTCTTTGGGTCAAAGTTTGGTCCCTTACCCTGGGTCACAGGCCCTGAGAAGTCTGGCTTCTGACTTCTCTCCACCCCTAGCCTACATCATGTCCCCCTCACTAAAAGGGGCAGCCACACTGGCTATTTTCTGCAGGATGATGCGATCCCTGCCTCCACTGGGATACTTTCTGCCCTCGATCTTCATGGGGCTGCCTTGGAGGCTGGCTCCCATTCTTTGCATCCCAGCTCAAATGTCACCTTCTCAGAGAGGCATTCCCTGACTGGCCTATCTAAAGGGGTCCTTCCCAATTAGCTGTTCTCATCATCCTGTTAAATTTACTTCTTTGCACTTAATTTATATTTTCTTTTTTCCTCCACTAGAATATTAAGTTCTATTTAAATAAATATCTATTTTTATTGATTTCAGAGAGGAAGGGGAAGGGAGAGGGAGGGAGAGATAAAAACATCAATGATGAGAATCATTGATTGGCTGCCTCCTGCATGCCCCACACTGGGGATCGAGCCTGAAACCTGGGCAGGTGCCCTGACCAGGAATCAAACCGTGACCTCCAGGTTCATATATTGATGCTTAACTACCGAGCTGCACCGGCTGGGCTAGAATGTTCTTGACTGTGGGGAATGTCTTTCTTATTCACTACTATATCTCTAGGAAGTTGCATATGCCTCTTTCCCTTACACACACTTGGTCAGAACTTAGTTATATGACCACACCTAGCTGCAAGGGAGGATGGGATATATAGTCTTTGTTTATGGCACAGTGCATGATGATAGTACTGTAAATCTCAATTAAGAGTTGTTGATCATTGTTTATAACAGTGAAAAATGGAAAGCAGCCTTATTGTTCATTAATAAGGTATTGATCAAAGAAATTATGATAGAATCATGTGATTGGATATTAAGTTATATGGGGAAATATTTTATGGGGAGAAAAATGTAAATCCTATTTTTGTAAAACAAAGTGTCTATGTTAGATATTTAAGAAATACTGCAAGGACAGGTATGAAAATATCATATTTTCTTTTCGGGGTGAGTGCTTTTTTTTCCTTTCCTTTTAAAAAAACAATTTGTATTTAAACATTTTCTATAGTCAAACAATAGCACTATTACAATGACACAAAGTTATTCTAAATGAAGTTATATTATAATGTGACAAGTGGGTGGAAAACAATGGTGTTTGGGTAAACAGTTTTTGGAGCTTGAGAATCTGAGTTGACTTCCTTTCTGGTTTCAGCTCTTGAAAGTTTGAAGAATGATCCTGTGGAATCTATCCAGATTCTGGTGACTACTCTTCTTCAAAATATTGAGGAATATGTTAATCCTGAGGACAGCTCTACTTCCATTATAAGTACTCGCTTCTTCCGATTATGTGGCAGGAAAGCCCGAAAAAGAAAGAGGCACCTATTTAAGACTGTCAGACAGGAAGGAGATAATGATACTGATCGGCCCAGGAATTGGCTCCTAGGCCCTCTAAATTTACTGTGGAACTGGTGCAAGGGAGGGTAAAAAATACTCGCCTTATAATAGGCAACTTAGAAAAGTCAACACAGTCACAAGAACCAAAGTCTGAAAGTCTCCCTGATGAAACTGAATTGATCCCCAAACAAGTTGCTCCTGAGTCACTGTGAACATTTAGAACTGGTGGCTAAAGCCTTTTCCAGTTGTTTATTCGGATGTCAGTGCTGGACTCTGCGTAGTCTCTCCCACCTTTTTTCCAACTGGGTGGGCGACTTTGGTTTAACCCCAAATAGGTAGTTTTGATCTTAGAAGATATAGTATATTCCTTGTTCTCTATCTCCCCTAGGGTATTGTTAGCTATCAGTATATACATTTTTAAATAAATGTTATTTTTTCATCCTAAACAAAATGGCTTCCATCTTAGTTTCGGGGGTTAGGGCGTAAACCTGAGTGACAGCAACAGCTCTGGAAGCAGTTCCTTCCACCTTCAGGCAAAGTTTCAAATGGCAAAAGGGAGGAGTAGGGTGGTAGAATCACAGGGCACCTAGTTTTCAATCTTTCCCTCACCTCTTCACAGGTTGCAGGAAATTCACATGCTTGACACATTTCCACGGGTGTATTCAGATTTCAGGTTAGAGGATAAAAGGCGGGCTGTGGTTTACATACAGTGGAGCAGCAATAACTCTAACTCTCTCGCTCAGAAAGCACATCCAATAACCATGAAAGCACATACTGTTTAGATAATTTTCAGTCCATTCTAATTTATTTTTATTTTTAAAAAAATATATTTTATTGATTTTTTACAGAGAAGAAGGGAGAGAGATAGAGAGTCAGAAACATCGATGAGAGAGATCGATCAGCTGCCTCCTGCATGCCCCCCAGTGGGGATGTGCCTGCAACCCAGGTTCATGCCCTTGACCGGAATCGAACCTGGGACCCCTGAGTCCGCAGGCCGACGCTCTATCCACTGTGCCAAACTGGTTCGGCTCTAATTTATTTTTTGAAATTATTCTAGAACTTAGATTTGAATCCTTGCTCCCTTTACCACAGACCAATTGTTACTGACTAGTTTGCTACACTATTTCAGTACTCCTTGTGCCTGATTTTTCATCCACAAAATCTTATTATAATACCTCCTGGGTGTTGTCCTCCAGTATCCATCCTTCCCTTCTTCCCTGTTTTGTTTTGTTATAAACTGTGCAGAACAAAGAATATGTATCCCATCCTCCCTTGCAGCTAGGTGTGGTCATATAACTAAGTTCTGACCAAGTGGGTGTAAGGGAAAGTGGAATATGCAACTTCCAAGAAGTGTTCTTAAAGGCAGGGGCACATCCATTGTTGTACCACCAGTCTTCCTGGTGACTAAATGTAAACATAGTTGGAACTAGGCATCTGCCTTGGACCATCAGGAGGAAGTGATATATTGGAAGTGATAGCAGAGCCAAAAGATAGACAGAACCTAGATCAGTTATGAGAAGAGATCTGTTTTCCAGTATCAATAGCTTACCCTGAAGACTGTTTATCTGGGGGATGTGGTAGAGATAAAATTTTATCTATTTTAACCAATCTTGAGTTTTTTGTCACCATCAAACCCAATTTTGATGGATTTACTTAATCTTTCAACATTGCTATGAGGATTAAAAGAGATCATTAATATAAAGAGCTTAGCAGTTTGTCTGGCATGAAGGAAGAAGTCATGAAACCGTTAGGCTATTGGAACTTAGTTCTGAGAACTTTGAAAGGGGTGAAAAAACCAGAGAACTAGTTCCCACTTTGGTCAAATTGACTAATTTTACTTCTTTGAATTTAGCAGTGATCAGAATGATTTTGATTGCTTTAAAATTTTATGAACTTTTAGATAAAATCTTTTTGAAACTTGGTTTCCTCATATAAAAATGAGAATATTTAAACTTTCTTCATGGGCTTTACAGAATTAAACAAAATGGTGCGATAGATTAGATATATCTCAGTGCTAAATAAATGGCTATAGCTATTACCCAGGTGTGATGGTTAATTTTATATGTCAACTTGGCTGGGCCATGGTGCCAAGATATTTGATCAAACATTATTCTAAATGTTTCTGTGAGGGTGTTGTTGGATCAGATTAACATTTAAATCAGTCGACTTTCAGTAGAGCAGATTATGTGTACTAATAAAGCCTAGGCGGCTTCGTGCGCAATGTTGTTGCCACACGATGGCTGCCACACAATGGCCTTATGCATAGCAAAGGTGGGGCCTGGCAGCAGCTCTGCACAATGAACCCTGGGGGTCCCATGGCTCCACGCAGCGTGGAAGAGGCCCATCCCAACGTCTCTCCTGCCACGCATGGTGGAGGTGGGTCGCGGCAGGGGAGGGCAGTTGTGGGTGATAGGGCTGGCAGGGGAGGGCGGTTGGGCCAACCGGGCTGGCAAGGGCGGGCACTTGGGGGTGATCGGGTGGCAGGGGAAGGCAGTTAGAGCCCATGGGGCCGGCAGGGGAGGGCAGTTGGGGGCTATCAGGCTGGCAGGCAGATGCGGTTAGGTACAATCAGGCAGGCAGGTAGGCGAGTGGTTAGGAGCCAGCAGTCCCATATTGTGAGAGGGATATGACTGCTGGACATCCCCCGAAGGGGCCCCAAATTGGAGAGGGTGCAGGCCAGGTTGAAGACAACCCCCGGCCCCCATGCACGAATTTGGTGCACCGGGCCATGAGTTCTATATAACTTGCGTGGGCCTCATTCAGTTGGTTGAAGGCCTGAACAGAACAAAGACTGATCTTCCCAGAGCAAGAGGAGATTCTACCAGCAGAAAGCCTTTGCACTTGAACTGCAACTGTTCCTGGAGTCTCCAGCCTGCCAGTCTACCCCATCAGATTTTGGACTCACCAAGCTCCATAATTGTGTGAGCCAATTACTTAAAAGAAATCTCTCAGGATATAGTATATCCTATTGGTTCGGTTCCTCTGAAGAACCTTAACTAATGCTTATGATGTCCTCAAGGTTCATTCACGCTCTAGTATGGGTCAGAATTTCCTTCAAATGTAACCCTCTTTGCAGATACATTTTCATTCATTCATTCATCCATTGATGGACACGTGGATTGCCTCCACCTTTCAGCTAGCCTATCTAATAATAGACAAACATGGTAATTGACCGTACCTTCGCTATGCCTGCCATTGGCTAAGCAGTGTGATATGCAAATTAACCACTGACAAAGATGGTAGCTAATTTGCATACTGCAGGCAGATACTGCAGGCAGATCCCGCTGTGCCGCCCTGCCTGGGGCTGACGGCAGCACAATCCCCAGCCACTGGCCGCCCCAGTGAGAGATCCTGGCCTGCTTTGTGCGGGGCGGGGCGGGTGGGGCAGGTGGTCGTGTAATCCGGAGCCGCCACCCACTCCAGTGTGGGATCCGGGTCTGCTGTGTGTGGGGCGGGGCAGGCAGGGTGGGCGGCAGCGCGATCCCGAGCCGCCACCTGCCCCATGACAGGGAGAGGCTGGCAGCCACTCCCCCCACAGGGGTAGGAGCCCCTGGCACAGGCAGCTCCTCAGAAGTGACACGGGAGCTGTGACCTGAACCTGCCTACTCGAGCATCAGGCTTATGCTTATTGGAACTAGGCACCAATACATTAGAGAAGTTATCTATACTAATAAAAGAGAAACATGGTAATTAGCGTACGACGGCTACCCTTCCCATTGGCTAATCAGCATATCCTTATGCAAATTAACTGTCAGCCAAGATGGCGGCCGGCAGCCAGGCAGCTGGAAGCGAACATGAGGCTTGCTTGCTCCAGTAACTGCAGACAGCAACGTTCCCCGCCTGACTTGCCGGCCTCTGAGTTGCAACTCTAAGCAACTATGTACTATGTTGCAAATGTAGAAACCAGCTTTCAGCCTGCCAGGATCTCAGAGCTGAAGTTATACATTGTTTCGATTATAGAACGGCAAACCAGATACCAAGCCTCAGAGCTAGAGTCAGAGCTAAAGCTGGCCCAGAATAAAATTTAAAAAAGAGAAAAAAAAGGAGTGGTTGGGAGCTTCAGTCAACAATCGCCAGCCTGAAAGCAGCCCTCAGCCCCTCACCCAGACTGGCCAGGCACCCCAGTGGGGACCCCCACCCTGAAGGGTGTGTGACCAGATGCAAACAGCCATCATCCCCTCATCCAGGCTGGCCAGGCACCCCAGTGGGGACACCCACCCTGATCCAGGACACCCTTCAGGGCAAACCAGCCGGCCCCCAGGCCTCTATTCGAAATAGTAAAAGGGTAATATGCCTTCCAGCACCGGGATCAGCAGAGCCACAAGGCCTCCTGGCACCAGATCAGCGTGACAGGGGGCAGCGCCCAAACCCCCTGATCGCCCAGCAGCTCTGTGCGTGACAGGAGGTGGGGCCACAACCTCCTTATCCGCCCTGCTCTGTTCGTGACAGGGGAAGGCGCCCCAACCCCCTGATGGGCCCTGCTCTGTGTGTGACAGGGTGCGGCGCCCCAACCCACCCACCTCCCCACGGGCCCTGCTCTGTGTGTGATGGGGTAGAGCCATAACCTCCCCATCGGCCATGCCCTGAGTGTGACAGTGGTGGCGCCCCAACCCCCTGATCCGCCTTGCTCTGTGTGTGACAGGGGGCAGTGCCCTAACTCCCCTATCGGCCCTACTCTGTGCGTGACAGGGCAGAGCTCCCCAACCCCCTGATGGGCCCTGCTCTGTGCGTGACGGGGTGGCGCCGCAACCTCCCCATCGACCCTGCCTTGAGTGTGACAGGGGGCAGTGCCCCAACCCCCCAATCTGCCCCACCCTGAGCGTGAGTAGGGGTGGCATCGCAACCTCCAGATCCTCCCTGCTCTGTGCATGACAGGGGGCGGTGCCCCAACTCCCCAATCAGCCCTGCTCTGAGCCCGACCAGGGGCTGCACCTAGGGATTGGGCCTGCCCTCTGCCACCCAGGAGCAGGCCTAAGCCAGCAGGTCGTTATCTCCTGAGGGGTCCCAGACTGCTAGAGGGCACAGGCCGGGCTGAGGGACCCCCCCCCCCCCAGTGCACAAATTTTTGTGCACCGGGCCTCTAGTTTTGAAATAAACAACAAAGAAGAAAATAGGTGTTGACCCCAGAACTATGTCCCCACAGGGAGTGGGTGACAGCGAAGAGGAGCGCAGGGCTGACAGGCTGCGGGCAGCGAGGACGAACACAGAGCTGAGGGAAGCAGCCGGTGCAAAGGCCCAGGCTGTCTGACTCCATGTACCTGAAATGCCAGGAGCAGAAAGCGCATGGGCACCAGAAGCGATCAGTGCTTCCAGGGGGGTGTGATGGGCTGGGGCCTAAGGGAGAAATGATGTTAGAGGAAGCGCAGCAGCTTGAGGGTGCAGGAGGCCTGGCTCCCAGGTCCAAAATCAGAAAAACAACTCAGAAAGGAAAC